GTTGATGGAAGCCACGGCCGGGTCGACGAGCCCCAGTTCCTCCTGTTCATTGACACAGAGCTGGTACCCGCAGCCCTTGCGCCGGGGCAGCGGCCCCAGGCGCCTGCTGGGCTTGGCGCGGGGCGGCAGCAGGAAGCCAACGCTGCCGGCGATGAGCAGGTGCCAGATGCTGTGGATGTAGAAGTAGTTCTCCTCCGTCTCCACGAAGGCGTAGAGCAGGACGGCGGCCGCCGCGATCAGCGCTCCCGGGCACAGGTAGAAAGCCCAGCGCTTCCAGGTCGGTGGGTAGCAGTGGCGGCGGCGGATGGTGCGAGCTGTCTGCGGTGGGGAAAAGAGGGGCTGGAAGAGGCGGCCCCGGCAGGGATGGGCACGGCTTCTGTGCCTCAGTGCCGCATCCCCCAGGACCCAGGGAGGGGGTTCCTGGGGAAGGGGAGATGCTGGCAGGGGAGCGGGGCTAGACAGCTGGGCAGGATGCTGAGCGCAGCTGGGGCCGGGGCATAAGAGGACAGGGACAGCATGTCCTTACCCAGGCAATGGCCATGATCCCCAAAGCGAAGAGACTGGGGCCCAGCAGGTTCCAGAGCCCGTGGCGGTCCATCTGCAGAGCCATGGAGAGCAGCATGGCCCCCAGCAGGTACAGCACCTGTGGGGCAGCGGGACGCCTGTCAGGATAGGTCCCCTCCGTGTGCACGGCCTGTGCATCCCCTCCCCACACTTGCCTGCTTGACCACGGGCTGGAGCCGGGCCATGGCGATGACGGTGACCCAGACGGACATGAGGGAGCCCAGGAAGTCGCAGAACTGCAGCACATCGTACTCCATGATGCAGAACACCACGATGCCTGGCTGGTCACAGGCGTGGTAGAACTGCGGTAGGGGGGAAAGGGTGTAAGAGCCACCCTGCAGAGCCCCAGCCCCTCGCCTGCCCCCACAGCCACTCCCACCCCACGCTCACAGTGGAGAAGAACATGGTGAAGATGTAGACGGCAGCTTCCAGGAGGTAGTGGCTGCGGACAGCAATGGCCACGGGAGGCACGAACATGACATTGCTGAGGCACAGCAGCAGCGTGGAGAGGAGCTGGAAGCCGTAGGAGAAAGCCTCAGCGTTGTCTGTGCAGCCCCAGCCGTTCCAGCCTGTGGCCAGGGAGAGCCGCTGTCACCCCTGCAGCACTGACAGGGGCTGGGGAGGGAGGGGGAAGCCCCTTTCCAGCACCCTGTGGAGAGCTGACATGGGGGGACTCATGGGGTGCACAACCCCCAGGGAGAGGGGAGGATGCCGGGGGGATCCCCCTGTGCAGTGAGCACCGTGGGTGCCCGGGACAGCTCTCACCAGCTTTGCACTCGCAGGCAGCGTACAGGTAGTTGTTGGTGCGCAGCAGCTTGCACTGGCCATAGATGCCACAGTCGTTGATGCAGGGCGAGAGGTAGGCACGCAGGTACACCTCGGCCGTCACGTTGGTGCAGGGCTCGAAACTGTGGTGTGGGAGAAGGGGGTCAGCCCTTGCCCTGAGCCCCTCAAGCAGCTCCTGCCTCCACCAGAGGCACCCGTCGTGCCTAGAACAGGCAGGTGATGGGAGACCCGGGGACTGGGTGAGCATGGAAATGAGCTGCTTTGGTGCTACGTATGAGAGCTAGTCCCCAAGAGTCTTGTGTGCTGCAGTTGTCTGTGCCAGGCTGGGCGAGCAGGAGGAAGGTGGCCACACTTAGAGCCACTTTGCCTTTAGCAGCACGCTCCGCTGGCTCCTATTTCATTTGGATTTTGCTGTGCAAACACCGTGCCCTGCAATACCTGCGTGTGACCGTGTCGGGGAAGGACCGACTGCAACCGGCAACTCAGCGTGAACTAGAAATGCAGCAGAGGACTCAGAGCAGGCACAGCACCCCTCTGCCCCGCACCACCCACTCGCAGAGCTCCAGGCACACCCGGCACCTCGGCAGCCCCAGCACACGGAGCACAGGCGGGCCCACGTCCCAACACCAACGCACCAACTGCTGCCCGCGCACACGCCGACACCCCAACACGCACAAACACGCAGGCAGCGCCGCCTGCGCACAGAGACGGGCCGTGTCTGCACGTGTGCCCGCTGTCCCTCGCACGGTCAGGTCTGCGCACGCCTGCACGCAGCACACACACGCAGCCCTGGCCGCGCTCGCACGAGCCCGAACACGCACACAGAGCCGTTGCGCACCCCAACAGGCACCATGCGTGTGCATGCACCGGGCATGCACAGAGCGCCGTCTGCACGGCACACGGACTCTGGCGTGTACAGACACACGTGCACAACAGCCCTTTCTCCTCCGCAGGTCTCTCAGGCAGGCACATGGGGAAGAAGCAGAGCTGCAGACACAGGACCGGTCCCTGGAGATGCTAAGCAGTGCAGGGGCACAGCAGCCCGACTGGAGCTGCCCCCTCATATGAATCGCCAAGCCCTGTCCACGCAGTGACTGCCCAGTCTCCTCCCGGGCACTGGTACGGATGGGCACTGCCGCGGAGACGGGCAGGCACCGAGACGCGCGGCATTCACACGCCGACAGCCGCTTCCTAACCACGAGACAGAGGGAAGAAGCCGCGGGGACCCACAGATGGTCAGGCAGGCGGAAGATGAAGCCATCTGTGCCCACGCAGGCGCTCCAACGGTGACACGCGGAGCCACGTGCGCACACGTGAGCGGTGACACGCAGAGCAGGGGCCGGGCACACCCACGGACCCACAGCGCACGCGGGTGCGGGCCACGGTGGGGATGTCCCCTCTGGGCATGCAGTGAGGGGGATGCACCGGGGTTCTTACCCGTGGTCCGTGGCGCAGAGCGAGCGCAGGCTCAGGTACCAGCTGCCTGTCTGGGGGTAGGGGATCCGCAGGCGGCTGAGGCTGGCCGTGGCATTGACGGAGAGGAGGAAGCCTGCCAGGGACTCTGCGGGCCGGGAGAGCTCTGGGTGAGCAGGGTGGGGGGCAGCCCCTTCCCCATGGGACAGGGGCAGAGCACCCTCTGGCCGGCTCCAGGGCCAGGCGTCCCCCCTCGGTCTCTGCCGTCTCCCACCCAGCCTGCCGCCAGACGTGGGGAGGGGAGCAAGCCCCGCAGATGCAGCAGGACGGGCACGCACAGCCCAGCCTACCCGTCTCACAGGTGACCGATGCGTTGTCACCGGACGTCAGCGGGACTTCATGGTTCAGACACCCAAACACTGTCACGTTCTCGCCACACAGGGAACTCTGATGGCAGAGGAGGAGACGGCCCTAAACCAGTGCCGGGGATAGCCCCTGCTCTGACAGCACCCGGATCATGGCACAGCAACTAGCACTGCCCATCACCCAAGGACACCCCAAATCCAGACCACCATCCTGCCCTTGGAGCACCCTAATCTGTGCTCCATCACCCAAGAGCTCCCCAACTCTGGCCCACGACCCAAGAGCACCCCAAATCCTGTTCCCTGCCCTGCTGCAGCCTTGACATCACCCATCTCCCAGCCAGTCCCCACCCCAGGCTGCCCTGCCCTCGCCGGGGCCACCTCACCACGTTGAGCCGTAGCTCCAGGTTGAGCACCCCACCACTGTCCAGCACCGGTAGAAGGTTGATGACGAAGACAGCGGGGCGGTCAGGCGGCACCGACACGTTGGGCCCGAAGAAGATGTAGAAGTGGACGGAGAAGGTGTCCAGCTCATTGCGCAGCGTGGGGCGGACCGGCCAGCACCGCTCACCAGCAGGCAAGGCGGTGGGGATGGGGACCGGGTGCTTCGTGCTGTTGGGGCTGGCGGGTGGAGGGCTGTCCCCCAGCGCCAGCCCACCCACAGAGCCGAAGGAGTGGGGCATGTTCATGGAAGCGCTGGAGGGCAGGAAGGGTGGCCGGGCCAGGCTGGGTCGGGAGCAGTCTGGGGGGCAGAGCCGTCAGCCTGGGCACCACACACCTCCTCCAGCCCCCTCTTAGTTCCCACCCCACCTTCTTGCCCACCACTCGCATCCACCTGGCCAAACACCTCCCAGTAATCCCACCCCAGCAGAGCTGGGCATAATCCTGCTCCCAGATGGGGCCAGATCCTGCAGGCATCCTTTACCCCACCACCAGTCACCCAAGCCAGACCTCCCCCTGCCCCCTCACCTGTGAGCTGCACAGTGACCTGGAAGGAGACCGTGCCTGGCACCCCAGGGTGTTTCTCCACCAGAACATAGTACCAGTGCTGCCAGAAGGGCAGGTCCAGTGCCAGCTGGCAGGGAGCGTGCTCCCGGCAGTCCAGCGCCGTTGAGTTGTGCAGGGGGGGAGCCTTGGCCCGCACGCGGAGCCAGAGCGGGCAGCCCTCAACCCCGCGGCACCGCAGCACCTCCACCAGCACTCGTGACGTGTAGCTGGGCACAAACACCCTGTGGGACAGCAGTGTCAGGTCCTGCCCCTCAGCGTGGACCAAGGTGGGGCCGGGAAAGCAAGCCAGAGGGGTGGGACACCCTCAGCTCCCCCACCCCGGGGACGGCCCCTGCTTGGGAGACCCTCCGGCACTCACTTGTAGAGGCAGGAGCGGTTGTGGGGGGCCATGCTCTGCTCGGTGATATATCCAGGGTACAGCACAGCAATGTTCACCAGGCGCTGCACGATGAGCTGTGGCTGGAAGAGATACTGGCACTCCTCGTAGAGCCCCTGCACCAGCGAGACAGTCAGCATGGGGCAGGGGGAATGGGGTACTGTCCCCACTGGGGACACCTGCCCTGCGCAGTGCCAGCCCAGGACAGTCAGGCCCCAGCAGGGCCCTGCAGAGAGCCCTGCCACCCCACCCTCCCCACAAGCCCTTCACCTTGACGGAGATCTTGCCCTCATCTTTGGGCAGGTGGGCAGCCAGGAACCAGTCCCCGGGCAGTGGGCTGGTGACATTGAACACCCCCGTGGTGCGGTTGGGCAGGGTCCAGGTGAGGGTCAGTGCGAAGGAGCCAGGGACAGCCGTGTCCCTGGGGAAGTGCGTGTGCAGCGGGTTAATGACGGAAGGAGCCCCTGAGCGGAAATACCTGCAGCAGAGGCAGCAGTTAGCAGAGACAGGGGGTCTGTCCTCCATGCTATTAGGAAGCTCAGAGACATCGCGGGAAGCCATCTGTAAGCTGGGACTTGCTGGAGACTATGACCTTCCCTGGGTGTGTGTTCAAGCAAAACCATTCATGTATGAGATGCCCGAGAGTGGAGCCTGCAACGGTCCTGGGAAGATGAATCCTGGGGAGACCATGCGTTTCGGTGTGTGTACAGGCATATACGCACATGGGTGCACGCATCTGTGCACGCGCATGTACCCGCAGATGCGTGCGGGAGTGCTCCCCTGTATGTGTGCTTGCACAAACGTATACACGCACACGCACATGCAAGCAAGAAGCAGACAAGAGCAGGGAGGCTCCAAGGCAAGTCCAGGCAGGGGACAGCAGGGGCAGGCAGAGGCAGGCAGGAAGAAAATGGACAGGGCGGGCTGCTTACTCACACGGTGATGCTACGGTCCGGGCATTGGTCCCCAAAGGTGCCACCCTGCTCCTTGAAGGTGATGAGGTTCCAGACGGCGATGACTGTGTCCTCAGGGATGTGGAAGTGGAAGAGCTCGATGCTGGCAAAGGAGCGGAAGGGGCTGAGCTTGCGTGGCGTGCGGGTGAAGTAGTCAGTCACAAAGAGCCCGTCTGCAGAGGAGACCCAAGGCGCTCTCAGCAGGGTGGAGGACTGGGGTGGGTGGTGTAGCACCCTTCTGAGACCATGCCCACCCATACAGGCTCTGAACATGTCCCAGAACGGTCGGCCTGGAGGAAAGAAGGGCTGCGACTGTGCCATTTCAGTGAGTCCCCAGGGATGATGTCAGCTGTACCCAGCTGCATCTCCCAGCCCTGGCACATCATGCCCGGTTCAGCGCTGCCTCGAGCCCAGCTCCCCGAGCCGTGGGCACTCATCCTCTGGAGCCCAAAGAGCCCTCAGCCCTGCCTGCTCAGGCTCTGCCCAGGTGCAGCCCGTCTTTTTCAACTCATCATCTTCTTCAGTGAGGACCTGCTCCCTGCATTTTACCTGTAATGAGGGCCCATTCCTCAGGGCTCCAGCCCTGCCCCAACAGGTTAGCTCCCACAGGGACATAGAGTCCCCCCTTCTCTGCCTGCCAAGGACGTTCAGCACAGAGCCCATCAGAAACCACAGAGTCCCACCCTAGAGCCATGAGAAGAAGCAGCGAGCAGTGCACTCCCAGCCCAGCCTCCCAGCTCTCCCGTGGTTTGCGGGGGAGGAATGGTGCACATATGTGTGCACATATGCACACGTGGGTGCTGCCTGCGTACACGGCAAAGTGGAGGCTTGCACACCCACATGCATGGGTGCGCGTGGCTGTGCACAGCCCTGCGTCTGCGTGACACTTCCTGCAAGCCCACAGCATGCACTGGGGCCACCTCCCCCTGCCCGGATGTCAGACAGTTTGATTTCCAGGGGTCTCCAGGAGCCCCAGCAGCAGAAGGGCAGCCACTTTCTTGCCACAGTAGACAAGGGAGACCTGGCCTCCAGACAGCAGCTGTAACTTCGCCCTACCATTGCCACACTTCCCCAGTGCCAGACCGGGAGACCCATCCATTACACCCCAGGGATGCACCAAGGATGAGATGCCCCTCCGCACAAGCTGCCGGCGACGGGGGTGCCAGCAGAGGACGGGCCGAGAGCAGGGCTGTGCCTGGGAGGACTCATCCAGCGGGGAGTGGGATAGCTGAAAAGAAGGGTGGCTTTTCACGGCGTGCGCCTGGCTGGGAGTGCGCGCATGTGCTTGTGTGCACGTGTGTTTGTGCTGCGTGTGTGCAGCCCCAGCCGGCTGTATACTGACATGCATCTGCTCCCTTGCCTGGAACAAAGGCAGCTCCCCCTCCCCTTCACTTCCAGCCGACACAAGCCAGGCATGAAATACCTGTCTCAGTGCAAAAGCACCCAATTCCTGTTTCCCTGCCATGAGTCACCAAGCCATTCCAACGCTCCCCTCCCCATATGAGGACAGTGACCTGGCTGGCGACCCTGGGGAGGAGGAGATGTTGAACACAACTATAGGAGGTGGCATGGGGGGAAGCAATCGGAGCTTCCCGGTCCCAGAGCAGTTCACCCCATGCCCACTCGCCCAGGGCAAGGTGAGGGGAGCCGGCTGCAGGCAGAGAGGGTCAGTCTGAAGCCCCGTGGTGGTGTGGCCGGAGCACGGGAGGGTTACTGGAGGGCAGAGAGGGATTTCCTATCCATGAAACCGGGGGAAGAAGGAGGAAAGCAAGTGTCCCTCTGTCTCAGGCCAGCGGACGGAGACGCGGGACCCCCCACGCCGGGACCACTGCCCCACGTCGCGCCCGGCGGTCAGGACCGCGGCCAGCGGTCAGCACCGCGGCCAGCTCCCGCGGCCGCCCCACGGCGGCCCCCGGCCAGCTGCCCCCCATCCCCGGGGGACGCCCCCCTCCCAACCCCGGGGTACCCTCCTGCATCCCCGTCACCAAGCCAGCCCCCCGTGCCCCACAGCGAGCCCATCGCCTCACACAGTCCCACCCGTGTCGCGTGTGTGTGTCCGTCCCCCCGCCCCACTCATCCCGACGCCTCGCTGCGTGCCCACACACAAACCCACGCTGTCCATCCCCGCTGCCCCACCGCACCCACGCAGCTCTCTGCCCCTCATCTGCAGCCCCCCGGGCCCACTGCCCGTGCACAAGCCCCACCACCCCCACCCCCACCGTGTTCCGCTGCATGTGCACCGCCTGCACCCTCCTGGCACGCATGCCTCGGTGCCCCACTGCGTGGGTACCCCACGCCCCACGGCGTGCTTATCATCATGACCCACCGCGCACCAGTCCTTGTGCCCCATTGCATTGGCATCCGGTACCCTCTGCACGTGCAACCCCCATGCCCCCCATTACGCAAACATGCCCCATCCCTCTCCCCTCGTGCCCCACGGCACAGGGACCTCCTGCCCCACTGCACACACCCCCCCCCGCAAACCAGCTGGGCACACCTCTGTGCCCTGTGGCATACGTGCCCCGAACCCCACTCCGTGCGTGCCTCATCCCTTGTTGCACAGACTCACCGTGTCCCACCGCCCACGCGTCCTGCACCCCACAGCCAGCAGACGCTGCGCCCCACTGCACACACACCCCTGTGCCCCCCACCCACCCCCCCGCGCCCCGTTGCCCCACATCCCACTGCTCGTGTACCGCACACCCACCGCAAGCTCACCCCCCTGCCCCACACCACCGAGCACGCTGCGCCCCCCTCCCCACGCGCACACACACCCCCCCTCCCCACGCCCCACAGCATGCAGACCTCCTAACCCCTTGCACACACGCCCCCCCCACCCCACCCCGCGCCACAGGCACCCCGCGCCCCACGGCGTGCGTACCTCACTCCCGCGGCACACGCACCCCCTTCAGCGCGCATCCATCCCTGCGCCCCACGCCGCGCGTGTGCCCCACACCCGTTGCACGGCACGCCCCCGGCCCCGCGGCACTCACCGGCGGGCGGCGGCGAGAGGAGGAGCGGCAGGAGCAGCAGCGGGAGGCGGAGGGGGGGGGCGAGCGGCCGCCGGTGCCCGCCGCCCCCGCCGCCCCGACGGCCCATGCCGCCGCGCCGGCTGCCGTGGGGTGCGCGCCGCCAGCAGCCCCGTCGCGCACCGGAGCCCATGACGTCACCCGTCCCGCCCCCCTCCGGGGCCACCCACGAGCGACCATTGGCCCCCACGCGCGTCACTCGCCGGTGGCAGCGCCCCGCCCCCCCCCCCCCCCCCCCGCGAGCGACCCGGTTCCCCACCGTCACCCCCACAACCCCGGGGTAACCCCGCCGCTGCTCGGGACACCCGGTGGCAGGGACACGGGTGGGGGCGCGGGACGTGGGGCTGGGGGACAGGGACACAGGTGGCGGGCAGAGATATGAGGCTGGGGGACAGGGATATCGTCTCGGGACAGGGATAGGTGGGGGACAGCGACAAGGACAAGCTCCTCGAAGCTCCCCCGGCTCCAAGTCGGACCCACGTCGGGCCAGGGCTGAGCCAGCTAGTGACCGTGGCTGCGCCTCTGCGAGGATGTATTTGAGAAGGGAAACCTGGGAGGAGGAGTGGGAGTTGTGGGGAAGAGCTGTGAGGGTGACACCTCTGCAAACACTGAGGTCAGTGAAAGAAAGGAGGAGAAAGAGGGGGAGGTGCACTGGAGCAGAGTCCCTGCAGCCCATGGTGAGGGGGCAGGCTGTGCCCCCGCAGCCCATGGAGGTCACCAGAGGAGCAGACGCCCACCTGCAGCCTGTGGAGGTCCCCACGCCGGAGCAGGAGGCTGCACCCGAAGAAGGCCGGGACTCTGTGGGAAGCCCCCACTGTTGTAGTGCGGCACTGGGAGGACTGCAACACGTGGGGGTGACCCACACTGGAGCAGCTTGGGAAGAGCTGCACCCCATGGGAAGGACTCATGTTGGAGAAAATTCGTGGAGGGCTGTCTCCTGTGAGAGGGGCCCCACACTGGATCAGGGGAAGAGTGTGAGGAGTCCTCCCCTGAGTAGGAAGGAGCACTGTGACTGACTGTAACCCCCATTCCCTGCCCCCTGCACCACTGGGGTTAGGAGGCAGAGAAATCGGGGGCAGAACTGAGCCCGGGAAGAAGGGAGGAGTGGGGGGAAGGTGCTTCTAAGATGTAATTGTATTTCTCAGTGTCCTACTCTGTTTGTTAAGTCTTAGTGGTGGGGGTGTTTGAATTAATTTGATGTTCTTTTTTCTTCCTCTAAGGAGTCTGTCTTTTGCCCCTCCTCTTCATGGTTGAGCCACCCCTCCCTGTCCTTATCTCAATTCATGAGCCTTTTCTTGTATTTTCTCCTCCCCATTCTTGAGGGGGAGGGGGTGAGTGATGGGCTGTGTGGTGCTCAGTTGCCCTCTGGGCTCAAACTGTGACAAAGGTGCAGGACACAGGTGAAAGGAGCCGTGGGACCAGGACATGGGGGCTGTGGGGCTGGGGTGTAAGGTACTAGGGAGATAAAATGATGGGGACAGAGCATCCAGTGGAGAGGTAATAGAAGGATCAAGGGCTACCTGTGCGGGCTTGAGGGGCTACCTAGGGGGACTGTTTAATGGGGGTTGGGTGGTTTTCTAACAGTGGGTACCAGCTTATTATCATAAATTATAATATTTGTGTCATAGAGGAGCTGTCCGAGAGAGGGGGTTGGGACAGCACCTTTTGGGATGAAGGCATCCTGACTGGAAATGATCTCATCATGCTTTCCCAAACTCCCCTGACATCATCCTCAGGTTCCTCTGACATCACCATCCTCTTTGGACACAGCACAGGTTGGGAGGTGACTTACAGGCACAGCCCCACTCCCCACGGGGGCTGCTCCCATCCCATGCCCCCATAATGGAGCAGCCATGCTTGGTGGTCCAGTCCAACGCCCCAGCAGCCCCTTGGAAGAGCGCAGCCCCCCTCCAGGCATGGATGGGGGTCCCCTCCCCAGTGCAAACCTCCCAGGGCACAGAGGCCCCTGGCACGGGAATGTACAAGGCCCATGGACCCTCCATGAGAAACCTGGTCCCACGCTCCTTGAGAATTGGATGGGGGAGCCTCTGTGTGTGTGAGTGAGTGTCCTGATACTCTCCAAAGGCTCGAGGGTCCCACCAGAGCTACATGTGATGGACCCACCCCCTGTCAGTGACACCAGTGGGTGTGGGTGCCCATAGGGGTGTTGGGCCAGGAGGGACCACCACAGGGAGACTGCAGCTGCCCCAGAGGGAGGGAAGATTGGTGTGGGTGAGGGGTCCCTGAGGCCAGGACTGTGAGGGGTCAAGGGGGACAGGGAGGGTGGGCTGGGTGTGAAGGAACACCTCTAAACATGCCAGCAGCTGCCCTATAGGCCCACATCCCCCAGGTCTTTGGGACTGCCTCTTGGCCCCACAACTCACAGAAGCATGGGGTGCCCCACCACCATGCAGCACTGGGGCCAGGAGGATGCCATCATCAACAAATTTGATGTCTACAAGGTGAGGGGGGGAGTAAGTGCAGCCCCCCCAAAGCGAGGCGGGCAGCGGGGAGCCCAGGGTGTACCCACTCCCCTGACCCCACAGGTGGAGACCATCGGGGACGCCTACATGGTGGTGTCGGGGCTGCCGGTGCGCAACGGCAAGCTGCACGCCCGCGAGATCGTCCGCATGGCCCTGGCCCTGCTCGAGGCCGTCAAAACCTTCAAGATCCGGCACCGGCCCAACGACCAGCTCCGCCTGCGCATCGGCGTGCACACCGGTGAGCCCCGGCACCGGGCAGCCCCACGGCGGGGGGATGCTCGCCCGCCCGCCCTGCAGCAGCCCCGGGCATCTCTGTGCCCGCAGGTCCTGTGTGCGCCGGAGTCGTGGGTCTGAAGATGCCGCGGTACTGCCTGTTCGGGGACACGGTGAACACCGCGTCGCGCATGGAGTCCAACGGCCAGGGTGAGCCACGGGGCCGGCAGCCGGGCTCCGGTGCCGCGGGCCCGTGCGCCGCTCCTGGACCCAGCCGTGTCCTTTTTGCCCCTCTGTGCCACCCAGCCCTGAAGATCCACATCTCGTCCACCACCAAGGAAGTCCTGGATGAGTTTGGCTGCTTCGAGCTGGAGCTGCGCGGGGACGTGGAGATGAAGGTGAGGGCGCGGGGCCGCTGCTGGGCTGCCAGCCCGTCCCGCCGCACGGGCGTGCGATGGGTGGGTGGCTTGGGGCTGGGACCCCCTGTCCCCCTCGGTGCCGGGGACAGCACCCAAGGAGCAGCGCCGGGGGCGGGGAGGGTCTCACCCGGCCCTCCGCCCCCCAGGGCAAGGGGAAGATGCGGACGTACTGGCTGCTGGGTGAGAGGAAAGACCCCAAAGCCATCTGAGCCCGGCGGCAGTGGCGGAGCCCCCAGCCCCAGTGGCGCCACCGTGCTTCCCAGCGCTCGGCCCCCGGGAGGAACCGGCACAGCCCCGTCACCGCAGCCCCCGGCCACCACCGCAGCCCCCCTGCTTTAGCAGGGCTGGGGCACGGGGGGCCGGCGCCCACAGCACCGCCTGCCCCCTCCACTGGCACCAGCAAAGCCCAGCTCCCCCCGCAGCCCCTGCTGGAGGGGGGAAAAGCAGGCCCCAATCCGCCCCGGGGGGGAACCCCGTGTCCCCCCACCACCTGGGGTCCTGCCGCCCCTGCCCTCTTCCCCGCGGCTCAGCTGGCTCTGAGCCGCTCCCGGGGCCTGGCTGCCCCACCGGGCACTTGGCCGTCTCTTTTCAGTGCCCGGCCCCCGGCAGAAGTTGTGCCCGTGTCACCCCCTCCCCGGGGCGGGGGGAAAGGGGGGGCTCCTGCCGGGACGACCCCTTGGCCAGGGCAGGCTTCCGTGCCGCGGCTCCCCCCCTCCCCAGCGCCCCCCTTCCCTGTATATAGCTCCACCGGGTCATGTAAATACCCCCCCTCCCCCAGGTGTAAATATAGGAGTCGCTGCAAACTATTTTGTGGAAATACAAACTTCCCCAAATCCCTCCGTCCCCTGGTCCCTGCTTCGCTCTGCCCCGGGGCGCCAGGCGGGGGGGGGGAGCCGGGGGTGGGGGAGAACCCCCACATCGAGCTCAGCCCGGGTGGGGGGGACAGCCGCCTGGAGCATTCCAGCACATCGTGCCCGTGGGTCCGGCTGCGGCGTGGGGTGGGGGTCCGGGCACGGGGAGCCAGCGGCGGCTGGGGGGGGCTCGGGGCGGCGCTGGGGGGGCAGGGCCCCCGCGGCGGGGTTTGCTTTGGCAGGAGGGCTGCGGTGCGTTCCTCTGAGCTCATGCTCTGGCCACGCCGCCGCCTCTTACTGGAAGCCACCTGGGCCTGGGGACCGGACCCACGAGTGACCCGCGGCGGGCACCGGGCGAGGGCACGTGCCGGGAAGGGGCTGGGCCAGCGGTTCCCCGCTCGTGCCCAAGGGGGGAGGCCGGGGGCCGCAGCAGGTTTTGGGGCAGCAGCGACGCGCAGAGGGGCTGGAGGGTGTCCCCACGCCGGCGCTGCGTGGCCCCACGGGGATGGGCATGCCGGGGACGTGGCGCTCCCCCTCCAAACGCCCAGCCTGAGCGCAACCCGGGGGCGGCGGGGGTGCGGGGACAGCCCGCGCCCCCCTCCACACCACACGACCCCTCCAAACCCCCCAAGGTTTTTATTGCTTCTGGGGCCGGAGCCGGCTGCTGAGGGGGACGCAGGGCAGGGGCTGCTCCAGGTACTCGGCGATGGGAGTGGAGAAGGCTGCGTTCCTCCGAAAGGGACTGTCCCCGCTGCGGATGCCGGTGACGCCCTGGAGGGGAGGGGAGCGAGGGGGTCCCCGTCAGCAGCCCCGTCCCCGGGGTGCTGCCGGGGCAGGGTGCCGGGGGGCTCACGGGCAGGCTGCGGGCTTGCCCCAGCCAGAAGCTGCGGGGCTGCTCCGTGCAGTAGTTGTGGGGCTGCAGGTGGAAGAAGCAACGTGACGGTGGGCAGGAGGGACACGGGGGCTCCCTGGGGGCTGCCGCAAGCTGGGGGGGGGGGCGGGGGGGCGCCCCCTGCCTCTACCTGGGTGGGGGGCGCTGGCGAGAGCCGGCAGCCCCCAGCGGGGCCGTCCCGTTGCCTGGCGGAGACCGACCCCGTGGGCGTCTGCGGGGGGCAGAGCCCCTCCAGCAGCTCCGACCTGCGGGCAGAGCAGGGCCCGCACCCCTCAGCGCGGGGATCCCCCCCATCCAGCCCGGCAGGGCGCCCCCCCTCCAGGGCACCTCCCCGGGGGTGGGTGACACGCAGGGGCGCGGGCTCGCCTGAGTTTCTGGTAGAGCGTGGCCTCCAGCACGGCCCGGCACTGCCCTGCGGGGGAAAAGGAGCCGCCAGCCCCACCGCTGAGACCCCCACGCCGCCTCGGTGGGGGGCAGCCGGCGGTGTGGGGGGGGGGCGCGGGGGCTCCGTCCCACCTCGCCCCGGCGGCGGGGCCCCGTGCGGCGGGCGTCCTTCGTGGCGGAGCCGGCGGCGGGCCGGGAGAGCGGCCGGTGGCCCAGCAGCCGCGGTGGCCGTGCCGGCAGGCGAAGCCCTCGCTGCCCGGCTCCCGCCCCGGCACCGCGTCCGGGTGGTTCGTGGCTCTCTGGGGACGGGCGGGCGGGCGGGGGGGGCTGCGGGGAGGGGGCGGGAGCGGGAGCCCACCCCGCGGTGCCCTGTGCCCGCTCCTGCCTGCCGGCGCTCGGCCGGCCGCCCCGACCCCCGGGGTGCCCACGCTGCCCCGAAGGCACGGCAGCGAGCCCCGGGGCTCCCCGGGCTGTGGCTCCGCCGCCCCTCGGCAAGCTCCGGGCTCTCCCCCCGGGGCCTCGCCGCCGCCCCCCACGTGCCGCCCGTGCCACCGAATTGCAGCCCCTTCCCCTCCTCTTGGGCTCACCCGTCGAGCTGCGGCTCGGCCGAGGGCGGCTCTTTAGAGAGAGCGGGTGGCCGGGGGCGGAGGGTCTTCACGGGGTCAGCGTGTGGGACACGACGGGGCGGGATGTGGGGGCATTTCCCCTCGCGGCCCCCCCCAGGCAGTGGTGGGGAGTTACCTCCTCCTGCCAGTTGCCGGTCGGGCAGCTCCCCCGGGGCACCACCGGGCTGGGCCGCTCGGCCGGGGTCTGCAGGGAGGCGGCCAGCGCCGGCACCACGATGGGGGGCACCTCGCTGGGGCAAGCCCCCCGCTTCCCAGGGCCGGGCGGCCGCTCGACCCCGCAGGGACCCTTCCCACCCTCGGCGGGCGGCTCGGCCGCGGCCGACAGCGTCTCCCGGGGCTCCTCGGCGTTGCCCCACGGCTCCTGGGGCATCTCGGTCGCGGCCGTCGCTGTCCCCCCGCGGCGCGGGAGCTCCTGTGGGGACCCGGGGCAGGAGGACATCGCCCCGACACCCAGGGCGACCCCCCCAGGGTGCCGGGGAGGCACACGGCCCCTCGGCCACCCGGAGGTGACGGCAGACCCCGAGGAAACGGGCGGGGCTCCCCCCGCAATCACTCCCGTCCCCTCACCGATTTGCCCAGAAACGTCCCCCCCGGTGTCCCCCCGCCCCGTGCCCCGCCCCAGGGCTCTGCACCCCCCAGCGCCCCCCTTACTTCTCACCCTGCTCCCAGCCCCCCCGCCCCCTCGGCGCTCCCCAGGGGCCGCCCACAGCCCACCCAGCCCCCCGTCCCCCAAACGTCCCTCCGCCGGGTCACGCCAAGGCCCTGCACCCCGGACACGCGCCCCCTCGGGGTTCCCGGCCCCCACCGCCGCACTCACGGCCCCACGGCGCCTGCGCGGGGCTGCAACGGCGCCGTCGCCCTGATGACGGTGAACACGTGCTGCGCCTCGCCCGCGGCCGCAAGCTCATTGGTGGGGCCGGGCGCACGCGCGCCCCCCATTGGCGGAGAGCCCGCAGGGGCAGGGAAGGCTCCCGCCCAGGGGCGGGGCCAAGGGGCGGTGGAGCGCGCCGAGGGGAAGGGGGCGGGGCCAGGCCCGCGGCGAGGGGCGGGCCCTGGGCCAGGGCGCATGCGGGGGCCGCGGGGGTCGTCCCCACGCGTGGGGGTGCGTGGGCACCTGCCCCCGGCCGCCCTGCGGCCTTGGAGCCGCCGCCGGCGGGGGCCGGGAGGGATCGCTGAGCCAGAGCTCGCAGGGCCCGGCCTGGGGACAGGGGCGGCCCCAGAGGCTCTCGGGCCGGGGGCGACACGAGTGGGCGGGCGCCGCGCCTGGCAGCGACAGCTCGGCCCCGCTGGGGCGGCGGGAGTGGGACGCGCCCCGCTCCCCGTGACGTGGCCCACGGGACGCCCGTCACCCGCTCTTTGGGCCCGGCCCCCGGCTGCGCTTTCCTGCCCCACGCACCCACCGCTGGCGCGGGGGGACCGGGCGGGACGGGCCCGGTGCCTGGCTGGGCACGGCCGGTCCCCGACGCGTGTGGAGCAGCTCCCCCGGCCGCCAGTCGGAGAACGGCCCTTCCCCGCGACGCGGCCGGCGCCGGCCTCTTGTTTTTCCTGGCCGGGGAGTGCCCGGCCCCTCCGGCCCCACGCTCCTCCCTCCGGGCGCCCGGCCCCACGCTCCTCCCTCCGGGCGCCCGGCCCCACGCTCCTCCCTCCGGGCGCCCGGCCCCACGCCGAGCAGGAGGGGCTGCTCCGAGCCCTGCTGTCACGCAGCTGCGTGGGGAACCGAGAGACGTGCCGCGGAGCTCAGGCTGGGAAAGGGGCGCCCCACGCTGGGGCGCAGAGCCGCCCTTCTCCACGCGGGCTGCGGCCCCCGGCGCCGCGGGGGGGGGGGGGGGGGGGGGCGGGTGGACTGGGGTGACGGGGGTGTCTGACTGGGCGTGGTGGTTTGAGCCCGGTCGGCAGCCGAGCACCCCGCAGCCGCTCGCCCCCCACCCGGGAACGGGCGAGGGAGCTGCAGGGGCGAAGGGAGACTCGCAGGTTGAAACAGTTTAATTATGGTCACAAAAGGAAAACAACGGCAGCAACTGAAAACAGAAACGGGCAACGCACAACGCAACTGCTCACCTCTCGCTGACCCATACCCAGCCCGTTCCCGGCCAGCGATCCCGAAATGCCAAGATCCCGCATTCCCAATCCTGGAAGCGAGAGGAGAGGGAGAGAGGAGAGGGAGAGCCCCTTCCCGACCGCCCCTGCTCTGTACCCTGAGCGTGGCGTTCCGCGACGCGGAATATTTCATTGGCCGTTTGGGTCCGGGGCTCTGGCCGTGCTCCCTCCCCGCTTCTTGTGCACCAGTGCACGGGCAGGACGCTCCCGTGGGAGAGTCCTTGAAACCCCAGCGGCAGCTGAAAACACCGGGGTGCCATCAGCATTCTTCTCATACCAAACCCCGTGCTGAATCTGAAGCGCAGCCCTGCTCCAGACACCCAAAAAGGAGCGTTAACCCTGTTCCAGCCCAACCCAGGGCGCTGGCAGAGCCGCCTGCGTTCGCGGCTCCTTCCTCCTCCGCAGCCGGAGCAGCGCGGCGCTTCGGGGTCAGCGCGGGCACCGCCACGGCAGGAACGTCACTGACCCACCGAGACACTCTGAGCCGCGTCCAGGAAAGCCAGAGCTTTTCAACGTCCCACGCACGGCCCGCAAGTGCGCGGGTACCCGAGAACCGGGGCGGGCGGGGGGCACAGCCAAAACAACGGGCCCAAACTGGCCGACGGAATATTCCCCGCCGCCGAGCGTCACGCTCAGTGCACACACGTGGGGTGGTCGAGAATCTCCGCTCGGGTTTTCCGGACAGTGGCTCCCGGACTCTCCTCTCTGGGATCGCTGGCCGGGCAGGGGCTGGGCATCGGTCAGCGGGTGCTGAGCAGTCGCACTGCGCATTGCCCGTTTGTTTTCTATTTGTGCTATTATCACTTTGTGTTTTTCCAAATACTCCCGCACTATCTAATCTGGTCGCTAATGGCAGCTAATGAATGGCAATATTTTGCACAGCGGTGCACGAGGGGGGGCTCTGGGGCGAGCAGCATGGCGAGTTTCACAGGACACGTGCGCTTTTAGCCCAATTTAGTGCAATCGGCTCGCTTTCACGAGGGAACACGGGGGAGCTGGGGGGCACCCAGGGCACCGCTGTGGGGGCAGTGGGGTTGGGTGGGCAGCGTGGGGCACTGAGCACTGCTGGCGTCTCCGTGGCATTCCCCAGCTCGGGGACACCCCTGCAGCACCCAGCCTGCCCCCCCATCCCCCCCGGCACTGGGATGGGCGTTTAGTCCATGGGGGGATATGGGCACACCCCAAAAATCCTCATGCTGCAACTGGGGGGCTCCAGAGCAGGCGAGTTGGGATGTGGGGAGTCCAGACGCACACCCTGCTCTCCAAGAAGCAGGGTGCCGAGTTCCACCCGTGTCCCCCCCCCGCTCCTGGGACACCTGAGGCCCCCTCTGCCCTGTCCGGACACCCTCACCCGCAGGGGTCACCCCGACAGACAGGCACCACAGCCACCGCCGTCGAGATGCTTTATTGGGGGGCAGTGGTTTGGGGGGGCTCAGCCCGGGGGCCAGCCCAGCTGCCGCCCCCCCAGCACATGCAGGTGCAGGTGGTAGACGGACTGGGCGCCGTGCTTCCCGTCGTTGATCACTGCCGGGAGAAGATCGGGGAGTTCAGCACGGACCCTCCACGCCCCCTCCCAACCGCCGGCGAGGCTCCTGCCCCGCGGCCCACCCGTGGCCACCAACTCACCCAGGCGGTAGCCATCGGCCAGACCCTCCGCCTGCGCCGTCTGTGCCGCCACCACCAGCAAGTGGCCCAGGAGCTGCGTGGGAGCCCGGGGGGGGTGGGGGAGGGAGTGGGGGGGGGCAGAGGTGGGTCACCGCCACGCCTGCGTGTGCGACCCCGCCTCACGGGCACCCCCCGCGACTCACCTCGGTGTCCTGGGGACCCACGCGGCTCAGCCGGGGGATGGGGCGCTTGGGGATCACCAGGAAGTGCACGGGGGCCTGGGGGGCCGCGTCGCGGAAAGCCAGGCACTGCCGGGGGGGGGGGGGGGGGGGGGGGGAGCAGAGTGAGCCCCGCAACCGTGGGCGCTGCTCCCCCCCAAATCCCCGCCACCCCTCCGGCCGCGGACACGCGGGCCGCTCCCTGGCTACCTTCTCGTCTTCATGGAGGATGTCGGCGGGCACGCTGCGGGCGAGGATCCCGCTGAAGACCGTGGGCTGCCCGTCCTCCCCCGCCGCCGCTGCTCGCCGCGCCGCGCCCACCTCCCCGTCCTGCCCGCCCGCCGCCACGCACCGCTGGGGCTGGGGGGACACACGGGCGTGACGGCCTGCCCACGCGGGACGGGCACGCTAGGGCCGGGAGGGGCGAGGGGCACGCGTGGCATGGCAGCGAGGGGGGTGGAGAGCCCGTAGGGGGGGGGGGGGGCGGCGGCGGGCGCACACGCGCACTCTGCCGCGGCGTGGGGGAGCGCACGCGCGGTGCTCAGGCCCTCCGCGGCGCGTCCCGCGGGGCGTGGGCGAGGCCCTCCTCTCCCTCCCGCGCCCACGCGCCAGCCCCGCGCCCACCTGCCCCGCTCGCAGCGCGCCCCACGCCGCCCCGCCGCGAAACAGCGCGCGAGCCGCCACCGACAGCATGGCCGCCGCCGCCGCGCCGGACACGCCCCCGACGCCCCATTGGCTCCGCCGTCTGCCCCTCCCGCCCGCCCCGCCCCTCCCGCCCGCCCCGCCCCTCTCCGGCTCCAGTCATGCGCCGGTGCCGTGCACGTGACCGCCTACGTGCGGGCGGGAGAAAATAAAGAGATAAACCCAGAAATAGGGATAATGGCAGCGGGGGCGGGGCTGTGCCCGGCGTCACGGGCGGGAGGCGCCTGACGGGAACAAAAACGTCCATTTAGTGCAGACACCGACAAAGCCAGCACTGAGCGTGGGTGGTGGCAAAGCAAGAGCGGCCACCGGGCCCCAAAACACCCCCACACCCCCGCACGCCCCACGCCCATCTACCCGGGCTCGGCTCTGCTCTCCCCTCTCTCCACCATCCCTCTCCACGGGCACAGGGGCAGGGCCGTGGTGGGAGCGCAGGGGCCACGGAGCACCACGCAGCCGCGCGGCCCCCTCTTTCACCCCTGCACCGAGAAGGAGAAAATAAGTCAGTCTAGGGATTAGAGATAGGGCTTGGAGGGGCACACTACCTGGTATGGTCAGGGGCAAAGGGCACACTTGTATGGGGAAGAAAAAAATATAGATATGTTACAGACACTAACAACAACACTTATCAGAGTAGGACAGTGAGAAGCATTGCCACGTCTTGAGAACACCTTCCCTCCATCCCCTCCCTTCTCCCCAGGCCCAGCTCTGCTCCTGGTATCTCTCTGTCCTCCCCCAGTGGCGCAGGGGCAGGGAATGGGGGGTGTAGTCAGTGCTGCCACTTCCATCTTCAGTGGGGGAGCTTCTGGAGCTTGTTTCCCCTGCTCCAGCATGGTCTGCCTCTCACAGCAGACAATCGTACACAAATCCTCTCTGACGTGAGTCCCTCCCACGGGCCGCAGCGTTTCCCCACACTGCTCCGGCGTGGGACACCCCCGCATGCTGCAATCCTCCCAGCGCTGAGCTACTACAGCGGGGGCTGCTTCTTCCCATGGGATCCCAGCTGACTTTGGGCACTGATGCGTTCATTTTTCACGTGGGGCCCCTCACCGGCTGAAAATCAGTCTGCTCCACCGGTGCCCTCCGTGGGTGGTGGTGGGGGCGCCCTGCCATCTCACCACAGGTTACGGGGGGGCTCTGCTCCAGCGTGCCTCCCCCCTCCTCTGTTCCTGGGCTGACCTCGGTGCTCACACAGATGCCACAACTCCTCCTCACAATTTCCACCCCAGTTCTCCTTCTTAATTACGTTATCCTAGAGGCACAGCCACCATTGCTAATTGGCTCAGCCCTGGCCTGACGTGGCTCCGACTTGGAGCCGGGGGAGCTTCCCAGCCACTGCTCTGCCTCCCTACTCTTCTATCAAAGCCCCCCACCACACAAACCCCGCACACGTCTGCCCCCACGCATGACACATGGGCCGCCCCACCAAGGCCACGAGGGAGAGGAGCGTGGACCGCAGCCCAAACCCCCTGCAGCACCACAGGTGGGTGCTGCTTCCCGCCAACCTCCCCCTCTCCCCAGTTAAAGATGCCGGGCAAAAGGCTGAGCCAGTCTGGATTTATTGGGTGCTCAGAAGCCAACGCGTGGGCGCTTGCGGTGGGGCTGGGAGGCGGAGGAGAGCTGGCTCTGGGAGGAGGGGATGCAGACCTGGCTGGCCTGGCTGCCGGGGAGCTCGGGGGGGTCTGGGGGGGCATCAGCCCACACCCCAGGTAATCCCGCAGCGTCTTCCGCCGCTCCTTGGGGATGCCGCGGCAGCGCAGGCTCTGTGAGGAGAGCAGGGCTTCCTCGGGCGCCGGCGATGCCGGGGGGCTGCCGTTCCACTGGGAGCTCTCCCGGGGGAGCACGGCAGGGGAGCTGGGGGAGCGCGGCGGCGAGGGGCCCGCGTCGCTCAGCTCCGACAGCTCGGACTGGTAGGTGAGGGAGGAGGTGAAGCTGACCGAAAGGCTGCACCGACCCCAGGCTTGCTTTTGCCGCCGCCGCCGCTTCTGCATCGCCCGCTTCCGCAGCGCCAGGTAGAAGCCCGTCCTCTCCTCCCACCACTGCTCCCAGTCCCTGGACCACACCGTTGCCAGCCGGGCGCTCAGGGGCTCCTCCACACACCCCGTGGGCGGTGGTGGGGCAGGGGGTTGGGGGCCCGGGGGGTCCCAGCACTGGATGCGGCCCCCTTCCCGCATGGCCTGGCGCAGCCGCTGCCGTGCCAGCCCGTGCAGGGTGCTGGGGCACGCCGGTGCCTCCAGCTCTTTGCGGGTGAAGAGGCTTTCCTGGCTGAGGGGGGGCAGCCAGGCGTGCAGGGGGTGCTTCCTGGAGCCATCGGAAAGAGCCTTCAGCCAGCAGAGGTACCGCGGGGCCGTGGCTGGGGAGGGCAGTGGGCTGGCACAGGGCTCTTGGGGGAGCAGCATGCTTGCCTCCTCGTTGTCGTCTTTCTTGTTCTCCTCCTCGTCCTCCTCCTCCTCATTATCTTCCTCTTCTTCCTCCTCCCCTTCCTTTTCCTCCTCCTCCCCTTCCTTTTCCTCCTCCTCCCCTTCCTTTTCCTCCTCCTCCCCTTCCTTTTCCTCCTCCTCCCCTTCCTCTCCCTCCTCCTCCCCTTCCTTTTCCTCCTCCTCCTCCTCCTCTCCCTCATCCTCATCCTCTTCCTCCACCTCCTCTTCCTTCTCCTCCTCTTCCTCTTCAGCAACAATCACCTCCAAGTTGGACAAATAGAAGGTTTGCTCTTCCTCCTCCTCCTCCACTTCTCCTTTTTCTTCTTCCTGGCTGCCCATGGACAGTGGGATGCTGGCTGGAGCCTCGAAGAGAGGGGAAGACCCAGGGGCGGCCTCGGCCTCATCCCCCAGGGTGGGCGCAGGGGCCCGCGCTGCCCTGTTGCTTAGCGTCTGGCAGAAAACATCCCCGGCCTCGGAGAGCTGGAAAACCAGCAGCGACTCCCGCGGCCTGTCCTCCTGCACCGTGGCCACCAGTCCTGCGGAGACACAGGAGACATTGCCATGGGGGTCCCGGTCCTGGGGCCCCTCCTGGGGCCTGGCCAGCAGTGGGGGCTGCCCTCACCCCCTCCCCGGGGCGCACCCGCTGCAGGCTCCCACCCCCCACCTTGCTTTCTAAGTCACTAATCTCTTGCACAGGACTGTTCAGGGCTTTGCTTTTGCTTTTTCAGCCACCAAACCCCACAGGGCACAGCAAGGGCTATACCCCCTCCCCTCCAGCCCACATTCTCCCCGCCCCTGTCATCCTCAGGACCTGCACCCCGGGGTGGAGGGGGACACCCACCGGCAGCCAAGGTGCTGAGGTGCTGCTGGATCAGGTGGTGGCTGAGCCGCTGCTGGGTGTGTAGGTGCTGCAGGCAGCTGGCAATGGTTTGCAGCTCTTGTGGCGGCCCTGCAATCTGGCAGGGCGACCACCCGCCCCCTGCGGAAAGACACACGAAAAATTGGCCAGAGAGCACCGACGGCAGCTGTTCCCAGTATTCAGGGGACACGGGCACAGAGACCTGATCCCACAGCAGCCCCGTAGCCCCATCTCTCACCCCAGTATTGCAGCAGCAACAGCTCCTTGGTGCAGGATGTGCCAAGCAGCATCTTTTGCCTCCTTCCGGGGCTCCCCGGTGTCAGGTGGGCAAAGAGAGGAGCAGCCTTCATCATGTGTTTCCACTTCAGCATGGGCACCAGCGGCATCCGCTCGTCCACCACGTAGATGGAAAACTGGGACAGGGGATGTGGCTCAGGAGGGCTCACTCCCAACATGTCGTGGCAGCCCCCCTCAGCCTCCCACACGTGCTGGAGCCAGCGGGGTTGTGCCAGGGCATCCTCTCCCCAGACCTCGGCTGTCCCCTCCAGGTATCATGAGACTCACTTGGGTGGCGACAAGGTGATGAAAGTTGTGAGCCCTGCCCAGGTACACTGGCAGCACCACACGCTCGCCTTGCCGGCAGCTGGCTTCCTCGCCCACCTTGAACAAGTCAAAGTGGCATCTCTCGGGGGCCTGCAGCAGTAAATCGGGGTGCTGTCAGCACCCCAGGCTGGGGGAACCTCTTCCCCACCCACCATCAGCCCCATGTCCACCCTCCCAGGCTCACCCGGGTATCCAGGCACTGCAGACCAGTGCGGTCGGCACAGCTCACCACCCGTGGGTGGGCGGTGAATTCGCTCCAGCGCCAGGGCGAATGGTCCCGAAAAAACATGGTCTGGGGGTCGTGGCGGAGCCGCTGCAGCCTGTGAGGAGAAGGCAGCGCCGACACAGTGCAGACCTGCCCCGCTCGCTTGGGCCCTCCCACCCCACTGAGACCCAGGGGTCTGCGTGAGCCCCACGCCCGGCCCCGAGTGCCCCATCTCACCCTGTTTCGACGTTCCAGAGGTAAACAGCTCCGCTCTGGGTGCAGAGAGTCAGCTCCCCGGGGAGGTGAGGGCTGTGGGACGGGGGGCCTGGCATCACTGTTGGGGCAAAGAGCATCCGCCACAGTGGGGACTGCTGCAGAGCCCCCTCCTTCCAAATCTCCGCTCCCCCCGTGCCTACCTGACGGTGAGGCTGGAGGCAGGCACGCTGGTGCGAATAACTTGGAGCGGGGTGGGGGCTGCCCCCATCCTGCCCGGAACCCTCCAAACGCCACAGTGATAGTCCGACCGCACGCCGATGAAATCTGACAGGGGACAGGAGGTGGCACATGAGACGGCAGCATCCCAGGGGCTGCCTGCTGCCCCCCACGCCCTGCCCAGCCCGAGGTGCGGATCCTGGGGTACGGATCCCAGGGCTGCCTCACCTTCCTCATCCACCCGGGCAGTGGCCACTTGCCGGATCCGCCCGTTGAGCACAAACTCCGCCGTGGAGCACCGGGTGTGGGGCAGCTCCCCCAGCACCACATCCTGAAAATCTGGGGGTGCCAGCTAAGGGCAGTACAACCACGATCAGTACCCCGTTCCCTCCCCATGCACACCATGTGAGGAAGGATACAGAGGCGGTTCATGGCCTGCCCTCCAGGGTACACCAGACAGCCCATGCGTCTCCCATCTTTGGGGGGCAGCCAGGCCAGCGCACCCCCAGTAGGGCTGTCGTCAAAGAGCAGGCTGGGCCACTGCAGCAACAGCTCCTCATGCAAACAGTCTGCCAGCAGCCCCACTGGCACCTCGGAAAGCCAGTCACGGCAGAGTTGGGAGAACCTGCGCATTTGGCAGGCACGGTCCTTGCGGGAGCAGACGCTGAGGAGGGTACAGATGGTGTCAGGTGAGGGGGAGAGAAAAGGAGCCCCCTCAGACCTCTCCAGGTTGGGGGACATAGGGGCACTTACTGCCTGGCCGTCAGATGGTCCCTTTCCTGCATGGGGGCCATCATCCGGATGGTGCTGTCCCAGCCATGTCTCTGCAAGGAGGGGCAGGGGCAGCGGTTGGAGCTGTTAGCTGCAAGAGGAGGGGTGGGGTGTGGCGTTGTCACCCCCCCCCCCCCAGACAGACACTGACCCTCACCTTGGAGTTATTCAGGTAGAATTTTTTGTGCAGCAGCTGCCCCAGGGTGCCAAACGCATCTTCTGGGTGATCCACAAAGAAGCGGCCCAGCTGCGTGGGAAGGACAGGGAAAGCTTGGGACGTGCAAGGATCCAACAACTTCCCCCCAGGCCCTGCAGCATGACACAGCACCCCAGGCCCTACTTGCTTGGTGAAATCCAGAATGGCTCCAGACTTGCCTGTCCAGAGCATCGTGTGCAGAACGCCGTGGTAGAGGATGTCTTGGGGCACAAGTGGGGGGACACGGCACCCTGTGGGGAGAGGGCAAGGGCTGGGGCACCGCTGCAGCACTGGCAGACAACGGCTCACCCAACCCCGTTCCCTCCTGGGCGACCCCAGGGAGAGCCACTCGAAATTCCCCGTCCTCCCCCGGGAGCCGCAGGGGCAGCTTGGGCAGCCACCCGTGGAACGGGATGTGTGTGCGTGTGTCCCCGCGGGTCGCGTACCTTCCTGCCGGCCCCTGTGGCCTCCCCTCGTGTCCCGAGGCAGGAAGGGTACGGCAGCGGCGTGGGCGGCTTTCCAGCTCTCGCCCATCGCGTCGCGGTGGGGCACAAACACCGAATCAGCCTGCGTGGAGAAGGGGCTGGAGGTGACGCGGACAGCGGAGAGGTGTGTGTCCCCCCCACACACACACACCCCCCACACACACACCCTTCTCGCCCCACGGGCCTGCGCAGGGCGGGCGTAATCGCGGACTCACCTGGCGACGAGCGGGACCGGCCTCCACCACCCGCCTGTGCTCGCCCCAGCCGAGGGTCGGAGAGCAGTTCCCCTCCTCCCGGGTCGGGCCGCAGCCGAAATAGTAGGGGAAGAGGGAGAATGGGAACTCCATCGCGCCCGTGGGGCGGGAGGGCGGCTTTGAGAAGCGGCGGTGGGATGTCCTGGAGAGGTCGCCAGTCGGTTGCCACGCGTGACGCTCACGGCCTTGCGGTGCTGACGCCGCCCATCAACCAGCACCCGGAACAGAATAAACAGAATTGGACCTGAAAGGCGCGGTGGGGCGGGGGGGGGGGGGGGGGGGGAAAGGGAGGGGAAGAGGGTAACAAAAGAGGGGGGAGGGCTGAGAGCACTGCCGCCCTCTGATGGGCGGAAAGAGGAAACGCTCCTCGGCCGGGGGGAACCGGGGGGAACCGGGGGGAACCGGGGGGAACCGGGGGGGAGCCCCGGGGACCGGGCTGGGGGAACCATCGGTGCCAGGCCACGCCGGCGCAGACGCTGTCTTCGCCCCTCAGCCCCAGGAGGGACACGCCACGGGTCCTGCCGTGGGCATACCTGTCCGGCCCCGGTGCTGTCTGCACGCGGGACAGCAGAGTTTTCTGTGGGATGTGGGTCTGGCCGGCGGTGATGTCAGGGGAGTTTGGGGAAGCGTGATGAGATCCTTTCCAGTCCGGATGCCTCCCCCCCCGCAGGCGGCAGTCAGACATCCTCTCCTGGACACCTCCTCTCTGAGATAAACGTTATAAGGCACAATAACAAGGTGATAGCTGCTGCTAGAAAACCTCCAGTCCTCATTAAACAGCCCCCTAGACAGCCCCCCTCGCCCCCGCAAGCAGCCCTCGCTGCTCCCATCTCCTCTCCCCAGGAGAGATGCCTCAAACATGCACCGACACAGAGAGGCTGAAGTACGAGCTGCGGCCTTTGTGATTCGTAACTGCAGAATGGATCGAAGGGTGCAGGGCTTCGCTCCCCCCCCCCGCCCCGTGGTTGTATTGCGAAATCGCCTAGATAAGCCCCAGAGGAGGGGGGAGACATAGATTGAGTGAAAGCAGATGTTGGGTTAATGCCTACACTTTAATTTATGACTATAGCCTTGAAGAAGGGCTGCTAAGGTCTAGGCAATTACCCAAAAAGCAAAAAACTGAGGAAGAAGTGAAGGTGGTAGGGGTGAGCACAACCGCCTGCTCAATGGGGCAAGGGGGTTGGTGCACCCCATCCCCCCTCTGCATATGCAGAACTCCTGCTCCACCATTTCCTCTCTCATGGAAATGAGTTGGTGCAATACCCGCCCCTCTTTGTCTCCTATGTTAATCAGCTGATAAAGATGAACTGAAAAGGTGACAAAAAACTTGCCTGCCAGCAACCTGTCCTTTAGTATTGTTTCACCTTAATTTAACCCGAGGGGATCACAGAACCTTTACAACTTGGGTCACAACAACCCTGTTTGTCCCCGGCCTTGTAGACACCAGCTCTAGCAAGGATCCCGATCACAGGAGACAGTCCTTCACAAAATTTCTTTGCCATGAGTCCTTCCCGTGGGCTGCAGCTCTTCCCAAACTGCTCCAGCGAGGGTCCCCCTGCAGAGTCCTGAAACCACCATCCTGAAAATGCGAGTGGTGCTTCATGATCAACCCTTATCTATAGACTGAGCATGACGCGGGGTGATAAGGAATATTCCATATTTTGAGGCAGTGCCTCAAAAGCTCCACCGGCTCCAAGAGAGAGGAGTAGCAGAGCCGAGCCCAGGTAGATGGGAGTGGGATGTGCGGGGGTGTTTGGGTCTGTCGGGGTGACCCCTGCGGGTGGGGGTGTCCGGCCTGGGCAGGAGGGGCCTCAGGTGTCCCAGGAGCAGGGGGGGGACACGGGCGGAACTCGGCGCCCTGCTTCTTGGAGAGCAGAGTGTGCGTCTGGGCTTCCCACATCCCAACTCACCGACACTGGAGAGGCTCTGCAGCCCCCCAGTTGGAGCAGGAGGATTTTTGGGGTGTGCCCATATCCCCCCATGGACTAAACGCCCATCCCAGTGCTGGGGGGGATGGGGGGGCAGGCTGGGTGCTGCAGGGGTGTCCCCGAGCTGGGGAATGCCACGGAGACGCCAGCAGTGCTCAGTGCCCTGCGCTGCCCACCCAACCCCACTGCCCCCACACCGGTGCCCTGGGTGCCCCCCAGCTCCCCCGTGTTCCCTCGTGAAAGCGAGCCGATTGCACTAAATTGGGCTAAAAGCGCACGTGTCCTGTGAAACTCGCCATGCTGCTCGCCCCAGAGCCCCCCCTCGTGCACCGCTGTGCAAAATATTGCCATTCATTAGCTGCCATTAGCGACCAGATTAGATAGTGCGGGAGTATTTGGAAAAACACAAAGTGATAATAGCACAAATAGAAAACAAACGGGCAGTGCGCAGTGCGACTGCTCAGCACCCGCTGACCGATGCCCAGCCCCTGCCCGGCCAGCGATCCCAGAGAGGAGAGTCCGGGAGCCACTGTCCGGAAAACCCGAGTGGAGCTTCTCGACCACCCCACGTGTGTGCACTGAGCGTGACGCTCGGCGGCGGGGAATATTCCGTCGGCCAGTTTGGGCCCGTTGTTCTGGCTGTGCCCCCCGCCCGCCCCGGTTCTCGGGTACCCGCGCACTTGCGGGCCGTGCGTGGGACGTTGAAAAGCTCTGGCTTTCCTGGACGCGGCTCAGAGTGTCTCGGTGGGTCAGTGACGTTCCTGCCGTGGCGGTGCCCGCGCTGACCCCGAAGCGCCGCGCTGCTCCGGCTGCGGAGGAGGAAGGAGCCGCGAACGCAGGCGGCTCTGCCAGCGCCCTGGGTTGGGCTGGAACAGGGTTAACGCTCCTTTTTGGGTGTCTGGAGCAGGGCTGCGCTTCAGATTCAGCACGGGGTTTGGTATGAGAAGAATGCTGATGGCACCCCGGTGTTTTCAGCTGCCGCTGGGGTTTCAAGGACTCTCCCACGGGAGCGTCCTGCCCGTGCACTGGTGCACAAGAAGCGGGGAGGGAGCACGGCCAGAGCCCCGGACCCAAATGGCCAATGAAATATTGCGCGTCGCGGAACGCCACGCTCAGGGTACAGAGCAGGGGCGGTTGGGAAGGGGCTCTCCCTCTCCTCTCTCCCTCTCCTCTCGCTTCCAGGATTGGGAATGCGGGATCTTGGCATTTCGGGATCGCTGGCCGGGAACGGGCTGGGTATGGGTCAGCGAGAGGTGAGCAGTTGCGTTGTGCGTTGCCCGTTTCTGTTTCCAGTTGCTGCCGTTGTTTTCCTTTTGTGACCATAATTAAACTGTTTCAACCTGCGAGTCTCCCTTCGCCCCTGCAGCTCCCTCGCCCGTTCCCGGGTGGGGGGCGAGCGGCTGCGGGGTGCTCGGCTGCCGACCGGGCTCAAACCACCACGCCCAGTCAGACACCCCCGTCACCCCAGTCCACCCGCCCCCCCCCCCCCCCCCCCCCCCCGCGGCGCCGGGGGCCGCAGCCCGCGGGGAGAAGGGCGGCTCTGCGCCCCGGCGTGGGGCGCCCCTTTCCCAGCCTGAGCTCCGCGGCACGTCTCTCGGTTCCCCACGCAGCTGCGTGACAGCAGGGCTCGGAGCAGCCCCTCCTGCTCGGCGTGGGGCCGGGCGCCCGGAGGGAGGAGCGTGGGGCCGGGCGCCCGGAGGGAGGAGCGTGGGGCCGGAGGGGCCGGGCACTCCCCGGCCAGGAAAAACAAGAGGCCGGCGCCGGCCGCGTCGCGGGGAAGGGCCGTTCTCCGACTGGCGGCCGGGGGAGCTGCTCCACACGCGTCGGGGACCGGCCGTGCCCAGCCAGGCACCGGGCCCGTCCCGCCCGGTCCCCCCGCGCCAGCGGTGGGTGCGTGGGGCAGGAAAGCGCAGCCGGGGGCCGGGCCCAAAGAGCGGGTGACGGGCGTCCCGTGGGCCACGTCACGGGGAGCGGGGCGCGTCCCACTCCCGCCGCCCCAGCGGGGCCGAGCTGTCGCTGCCAGGCCCGGCGCCCGCCCACCCGTGTCGCCCCCGGCCCGAGAGCCTCTGGGGCCGCCCCTGTCCCCAGGCCGGGCCCTGCGAGCTCTGGCTCAGCGATCCCTCCCGGCCCCCGCCGGCGGCGGCTCCAAGGCCGCAGGGCGGCCGGGGGCAGGTGCCCACGCACCCCCACGCGTGGGGACGACCCCCGCGGCCCCCGCATGCGCCCTGGCCCAGGGCCCGCCCCTCGCCGCGGGCCTGGCCCCGCCCCCTTCCCCTCGGCGCGCTCCACCGCCCCTTGGCCCCGCCCCTGGGCGGGAGCCTTCCCTGCCCCTGCGGGCTCTCCGCCAATGGGGGGCGCGCGTGCGCCCGGCCCCACCAATGAGCTTGCGGCCGCGGGCGAGGCGCAGCACGTGTTCACCGTCATCAGGGCGACGGCGCCGTTGCAGCCCCGCGCAGGCGCCGTGGGGCCGTGAGTGCGGCGGTGGGGGCCGGGAACCCCGAGGGGGCGCGTGTCCGGGGTGCAGGGCCTTGGCGTGACCCGGCGGAGGGACGTTTGGGGGACGGGGGGCTGGGTGGGCTGTGGGCGGCCCCTGGGGAGCGCCGAGGGGGCGGGGGGGCTGGGAGCAGGGTGAGAAGTAAGGGGGGCGCTGGGGGGTGCAGAGCCCTGGGGCGGGGCACGGGGCGGGGGGACACCGGGGGGGACGTTTCTGGGCAAATCGGTGAGGGGACGGGAGTGATTGCGGGGGGAGCCCCGCCCGTTTCCTCGGGGTCTGCCGTCACCTCCGGGTGGGCGAGGGGCCGTGTGCCCCCCCGGCACCCTGGGGGGGTCGCCCTGGGTGTCGGGGCGATGTCCTCCTGCCCCGGGTCCCCACAGGAGCTCCCGCGCCGCGGGGGGACAGCGACGGCCGCGACCGAGATGCCCCAGGAGCCGTGGGGCAACGCCGAGGAGCCCCGGGAGACGCTGTCGGCCGCGGCCGAGCCGCCCGCCGAGGGTGGGAAGGGTCCCTGCGGGGTCGAGCGGCCGCCCGGCCCTGGGAAGCGGGGGGCTTGCCCCAGCGAGGTGCCCCCCATCGTGGTGCCGGCGCTGGCCGCCTCCCTGCAGACCCCGGCCGAGCGGCCCAGCCCGGTGGTGCCCCGGGGGAGCTGCCTGACCGGCAACTGGCAGGAGGAGGTAACTCCCCACCACTGCCTGGGGGGGGCCGCGAGGGGAAATGCCCCCACATCCCGCCCCGTCGTGTCCCACACGCTGACCCCGTGAAGACCCTCCGCCCCCCCCGGCCACCCGCTCTCTCTAAAGAGCCGCCCTCGGCCGAGCCGCAGCTCGACGGGTGAGCCCAAGAGGAGGGGAAGGGGCTGCAATTCGGTGGCACGGGCGGCACGTGGGGGGCGGCGGCGAGGCCCCGGGGGGAGAGCCCGGAGCTTGCCGAGGGGCGGCGGAGCCACAGCCCGGGGAGCCCCGGGGCTCGCTGCCGTGCCTTCGGGGCAGCGTGGGCACCCCGGGGGTCGGGGCGGCCGGCCGAGCGCCGGCAGGCAGGAGCGGGCACAGGGCACCGCGGGGTGGGCTCCCGCTCCCGCCCCCTCCCCGCAGCCCCCCCCGCCCGCCCGCCCGTCCCCAGAGAGCCACGAACCACCCGGACGCGGTGCCGGGGCGGGAGCCGGGCAGCGAGGGCTTCGCCTGCCGGCACGGCCACCGCGGCTGCTGGGCCACCGGCCGCTCTCCCGGCCCGCCGCCGGCTCCGCCACGAAGGACGCCCACCGCCCGCCGCACGGGGCCCCGCCGCCGGGGCGAGGTGGGACGGAGCCCCCGCGCCCCCCCCCCACCGCCGGCTGCCCCCCACCGAGGCGGCGTGGGGGTCTCAGCGGTGGGGCTGGCGGCTCCTTTTCCCCCGCAGGGCAGCGCCGGGCCGTGCTGGAGGCCACGCTCTACCAGAAACTCAGGCGAGCCCGCGCCCCTGCGTGTCACCCACCCCCGGGGAGGTGCCCTGGAGGGGGGGCGCCCTGCCGGGCTGGATGGGGGGGATCCCCGCGCTGAGGGGTGCGGGCCCTGCTCTGCCCGCAGGTCGGAGCTGCTGGAGGGGCTCTGCCCCCCGCAGACGCCCACGGGGTCGGTCTCCGCCAGGCAACGGGACGGCCCCGCTGGGGGCTGCCGGCTCTCGCCAGCGCCCCCCACCCAGGTAGAGGCAGGGGGCGCCCCCCCCGCCCCCCCCAGCTTGCGGCAGCCCCCAGGGAGCCCCCGTGTCCCTCCTGCCCACCGTCACGTTGCTTCTTCCACCTGCAGCCCCACAACTACTGCACGGAGCAGCCCCGCAGCTTCTGGCTGGGGCAAGCCCGCAGCCTGCCCGTGAGCCCCCCGGCACCCTGCCCCGGCAGCACCCCGGGGACGGGGCTGCTGACGGGGACCCCCTCGCTCCCCTCCCCTCCAGGGCGTCACCGGCATCCGCAGCGGGGACAGTCCCTTTCGGAGGAACGGAGCCTTCTCCACTCCCATCGCCGAGTCCCTGGAGCAGCCCCTGCCCCGCGTCCCCCTCAGCAGCCGGCTCCGGCCCCAGAAGCAATAAAAACCTTGGGGGGTTTGGAGGGGTCGTGTGGTGTGGAGGGGGGCGCGGGCTGTCCCCGCACCCCCGCCGCCCCCGGGTTGCGCTCAGGCTGGGCGTTTGGAGGGGGAGCGCCACGTCCCCGGCATGCCCATCCCCGTGGGGCCACGCAGCGCCGGCGTGGGGACACCCTGCAGCCCCCCTGCGCGTCGCTGCTGCCCCAAAACCTGCTGCGGCCCCCGGCCTCCCCCCTTGGGCACGAGCGGGGAACCGCTGGCCCAGCCCCTTCCCGGCACGTGCCCTCGCCCGGTGCCCGCCGCGGGTCACTCGTGGGTCCGGTCCCCAGGCCCAGGTGGCTTCCAGTAAGAGGCGGCGGCGTGGCCAGAAGCATGAGCTCAGAGGAACGCACCGCAGCCCTCCTGCCAAAGCAAACCCCGCCGCGGGGGCCCTGCCCCCCCAGCGCTGCCCCGAGCCCCCCCCCAGCCGCCGCTGGCTCCCCGTGCCCGGACCCCCACCCCACACCGCAGCCGGACCCACGGGCACGATGTGCTGGAATGCTCCGGGCGGCCGTCCCCCCCACCCGGGCTGAGCTCGATGTGGGGGTTCTCCCCCCCCCCCGGCTCCCCCCCCCCGCCTGGCGCCCCGGGGCAGAGCGAAGCAGGGACCAGGGGACGGAGGGATTTGGGGAAGTTTGTATTTCCACAAAATAGTTTGCAGCGACTCCTATATTTACACCTGGGGGAGGGGGGGTATTTACATGACCCGGTGGAGCTATATACAGGGAAGGGGGGCGCTGGGGAGGGGGGGAGCCGCGGCACGGAAGCCTGCCCTGGCCAAGGGGTCGTCCCGGCAGGAGCCCCCCCTTTCCCCCCGCCCCGGGGAGGGGGTGACACGGGCACAACTTCTGCCGGGGGCCGGGCACTGAAAAGAGACGGCCAAGTGCCCGGTGGGGCAGCCAGGCCCCGGGAGCGGCTCAGAGCCAGCTGAGCCGCGGGGGAGAGGGCAGGGGCGGCAGGACCCCAGGTGGTGGGGGGACACGGGGTTCCCCCCCGGGGCGGATTGGGGCCTGCTTTTCCCCCCTCCAGCAGGGGCTGCGGGGGGAGCTGGGCTTTGCTGGTGCCAGTGGAGGGGGCAGGTGGTGCTGTGGGCGCCGGACCCCCGTGCCCCAGCCCTGCTAAAGCAGGGGGGCTGCGGTGGTGGCCGGGGGCTGCGGTGACGGGGCTGTGCCGGTTCCTCCCGGGGGCCGAGCGCTGGGAAGCACGGTGGCGCCACTGGGGCTGGGGGCTCCGCCACTGCCGCCGGGCTCAGATGGCTTTGGGGTCTTTCCTCTCACCCAGCAGCCAGTACGTCCGCATCTTCCCCTTGCCCTGGGGGGCGGAGGGCCGGGTGAGACCCTCCCCGCCCCCGGCGCTGCTCCTTGGGTGCTGTCCCCGGCACCGAGGGGGACAGGGGGTCCCAGCCCCAAGCCACCCACCCATCGCACGCCCGTGCGGCGGGAAGGGCTGGCAGCCCAGCAGCGGCCCCGCGCCCTCACCTTCATCTCCACGTCCCCGCGCAGCTCCAGCTCGAAGCAGCCAAACTCATCCAGGACTTCCTTGGTGGTCGACGAGATGTGGATCTTCAGGGCTGGGTGGCACAGAGGGGCAAAAAGGACACGGCTGGGTCCAGGAGCGGCGCACGGGCCCGCGGCACCGGAGCCCGCCTGCCGGCCCCGTGGCTCACCCTGGCCGTTGGACTCCATGCGCGACGCGGTGTTCACCGTGTCCCCGAACAGGCAGTACCGCGGCATCTTCAGACCCACGACTCCGGCGCACACAGGACCTGCGGGCACAGAGATGCCCGGGGCTGCTGCAGGGCGGGCGGGCGTGCGGGCGAGCATCCCCCCGCCGTGGGGCTGCCCGGTGCCGGGGCTCACCGGTGTGCACGCCGATGCGCAGGCGGAGCTGGTCGTTGGGCCGGTGCCGGATCTTGAAGGTTTTGACGGCCTCGAGCAGGGCCAGGGCCATGCGGACGATCTCGCGGGCGTGCAGCTTGCCGTTGCGCACCGGCAGCCCCGACACCACCATGTAGGCGTCCCCGATGGTCTCCACCTGTGGGGTCAGGGGAGTGGGTACACCCTGGTCTCCCCGCTGCCCTCCTCGCTTTGGGGGGCTGCACTTACTCCCCCCCCTCACCTTGTAGACATCAAAGTTGTCGATGATCGCATCGAAGCAAGTGTAGAGATCGTTCAGCAGTGTAACAACCTGGATAGAGCCAAGGGTGCACATGGGGCTGGGAGCCGTCATGTCCCCCCAGCCCCAGGGATGGCACTGCCAAGGTATGAGCCATCTGCCAGCCCCACAGCGGGAGCTGCCCCCCAAGCCCTGCTCTCACCTGCATCGGTGTGCTCTCCGCCGAGAGGGCAGTGAAGCCCACGATGTCACTGAAGTAGATGGTGACGCTGTCGAAAGCCTCGGCCCGCACTGTCTCCCCACGCTTCAGCTGCTCCGCTACGGAGCTGGTGAGGACAGGGGTGGATGCTGGTGGCCTCCCACCCCAAGTCCTGCTGTGTCCCTTCCCTATACCAGCACGAAGAGCCGGCAAGAGACCCCATGCTTGGATGGCAGCGGGTGCATGCTGACCCCATACCAACCCCCAGACCCACACACTCCCGTCTCTCCCCCCTCTCACTGGGGCAGGATCTGGTAGAGGAGGTTCTCTGCCTTGCGCTTCTCCTCCAGGTAGGCCTGCGTCCGCTCCTCCACCAGCTTCTCCAGGTTGTTGGCGTACTGCTCCATGCGCGACAGCAGGTTGTCCAGGATGCTGGTGCTGCCCTCCCTGCCGGGGTTGCAGGCAAGCTGGCACTGCGGGAAGAGGTGCCCCCCAACCACCGCCCCCATAGTTGTCCCCTTTCCCACCCGCAGTCACCTTCTCTGCTCGCCAGCCACTCACTTGTTGAATCTACGGATGAAGATCTTGATCTGGCTGAAGTCGGGGCGCTCAGCTGGCTCCTGCGCCCAGCAGCGCTCCATCAGCACCGCCAGCTCCTCGCTGTGCACCCCGATGTCGATGGAGGGGCGGAAGAAGGGCTTCTGGCTGTTACGCACCTTCTGCACGATCTCTGCCGGGGGGTGGCCAACAGTGAGCACCGGACCTCCCTGGTGGGCACGGGACCATCCCACGCCTGCCCCCGCTCCCTCCCCTCACCTTTGGGGCTCAGGTCCATGCCGTCGATGTAGAAGGGGCCGTTGCGCAGGGCGACCTCCTGCACGATGATGCCGAAGCTGTAGACATCGGCTTTCTGCATGCCGGGGGTGGGCAGCCGCCCCTTCTGCAGCAGTTCTGGGGCTGTCCAGAGCTTCTCTGGTGGGACACAGCCATGGGGTGGTGAGGCAGGGCCACCACACCCCCCTGATCCCCCTGAGCAGGCACTCACTGGCGTAGAGGGCATGCGTGTCCTCACTGTCGCAGGGCGAGCGGAAGCTGGCCAGCCCGTAGTCGGTGATCTTCAGCACGAAGCGGCTGTCCACCACGCAGTTGGATGACTTGAGGCTGCCGTGGTGGCCAATGATGCTGTTGTGCAGGAAGGCCATTCCCTGGGACAGACAGACGTGGTGAAGCTGGACGTCCCCCCAGCACCTCCCCCCCAGCCACTCTCGCCCCTCGCTTGGGTACCTTGACAATGTCGTTTATGAGGGAGTAGCGAAACATCCAGTCCAGGTTGATGCTCTCGTTCTCCAGGACATCCTGGGGCAGCACATTGAGTGGACACCACTGAGCACCCGGGGAATGGTGGCACCACCACCAGCCCCAACAAGCACCTAGCTGGCGGGGGGGGCTCGGCCTCACCCACCCCCTCCCCTCCACCAGCCTCTGACGCCTGCTTGTGTAGCTGTGCTTGCGAGTCTTGTGAGGTTTGGGTGGCCACCAGCATCTACACTCCTGTCCTCAACGCCCAGCCCATCCAGGTCACCAGGAGTGTCTAAATGTCACCCCCGGTGCCCCCCAAGCCCCCCTACCTGCAGACTGCCCCGCGGGCAGTACTCGGTGACGATGCAGATGTTGGGGGGGTCGATGCATGCCCCGATGAAGCGGGTCAGGTGGTTGAACTGGATGTCCCGCATCTGGAGGGGGAAACAGAGCCAAGACAGGCTTGAGGTCAGAAGGGACAGTCTGCTGCTCCCACCAGCCCCCTCCTCTGCCAGGACTAGCCCCTGCACCCCTCAAGCAGGGTGCCCACCCCAACCCAGACCCCAAACCTACGTGCTTCAGCTCAAAGAGCACCTGCCGCGTCAGCTCAATGCGCTTCTTGTTGATGTGCTTGATGGCCACCACGTTGCCCTGGGGTAAAGAAGAGGTCAGTGCCCGTTGGGCAGATTTGGGGAGGGGAGGAAAGTGCCAGCATCCTGAGGGGTGTGGGTGCAGCCAAGGGGGAGCACCCCAGCAGGGCTGGGGGTTTTGGGAGGAGAGCTCAACTCCCTGCCTGTTTCACTGACCTTGAAGTGGCCGGTGTTGGCAAAGATCTGGTACTTGCCGTGGGTCGTCATCAGGGAGCCATAGCTGGAGCCGCGCTGCGGGGAAGGAGGGGGTTAGAGATGGGGACCCTGGGGAGGGGGTGACAGGCACCAATGATGCTGGGAGAGATACCCAGGGGTGTGCAGGGGATGGTGCAGGACAAGCTCTGAAGGGTCAGGACAAGCTCTGCATGCTCTGTAGGGAGGGTGAAGACTATAGGATGAATTATCGAGTGCTGCAGGGGATGTAGGAGGTGTAGGGGATGCATAAGGTGTGGCTGTGTAGGGGATGGAGGGCCATATAGGGGCTGGATGAAGTATGGTGCTCTGTAGGGGATTCAGGGCTGTGTAGGGGATGGATCAAGAGTGGCTCTGCAGGGGATGGAGGGTCATGCAGGGGATGGATGAAGCGTGGCTCTGTAAGGGATGGAGAGCTATGCATTGCGGTTTTGGGGTTGGATGCAATGGGGCTGTGGCTCTCTAGGGGATGGAGGGCTGTGTAGGGGATCAACAAGGGAGGAGCGTCATGCA